ACTCAGTGCAAAATGTCGGCCGATCAATATTTTGCGATCACTTTCTTTTGACATACAACTAATCAGGTTGACTCAACACGTTTCAAAAGAAAGTGATTGCAAAAAGTTGATCTCCCGATATTTTGCACTGAATGGAAGTCGGCCTGAATGCAACTCGGCCTGAATGCAACTGGCTCCGCAGAGGCTTTAGTCACAGAATAGATACCAGACCAGAAGAGACACTCCTATGTGTTTTGGCTTGGGAAAACATCCGAAATTTTTTATGTGCTATGACGCCATCCTGGAATGGACACGAGGATGGCGTCATATGATGGTGTATTTTCACGTCAGCACTAGTAAAATTTCGGACAAGATATTGTCTGAGTGACACTTCTGGTCCAGTATCTATTTTGTGTGTTAGTTGTCTTATGATTTATTATGATGAGATACATTTCACTACACTTTACATGGCGGATCTTGGAACACGGGCGGAGCCACTGGGCGAAGTAGCGCGGGTGGAAAGGCAAAAGCCTCTGTGAAGGGGAGGGCATGCAACATGTACGCACTGCGTACCTATTTTTGTGTGTTGCAGCGATGCTAATTTCGTGCTTCGACGTACACACGTAAAATTGCCCAAATATCGAAATCTTTTGAAATTTGAAACAAACCCCTTTTGTATTGATGATAAGCAAGGGTTTCTTAATCCACACACAAAGTTTAAGGCTGGGTTTATTTTTGAACCAGTATCGAGTGGTCGGAAATTACAGAGACGGACTCTTAAGACAGAATTAACAATTTCTAATTTTTATTAGAATTAATCGGACACGTGCACGTAATTTATATGCTTACGCAATTTCGCACGCGCGAATAACGGTCGCAATTTAACGTTTATGCATGCGCATGTTAGTTTAAATTCAAAGTGTAATCCTACTACCTGAAGATGGAGTAAATCTCCGAAACGTCGTTTGTTAATGAAATAAACATTTAAAAAAAGTCTTACTGTGGTCTATATATTGAACACAAAATATCTAAAAATATATTTTTGAACCAGATATTCAACCGTTGAAGCGGTGCCATTTCCAGCTAAAGATCGTAATAATTTTAAACGTTAAATATAAAACTGAAGACGCACGGCTAGCACAAAATATCTTTAAAACTAGTTCATTGTGCTGTTCACGACAATTAGCTATAGTGTTTAACTTGACATAAACTTTCGTTCTCCCTCGGTGGCTTAGTGGTAGGTCGTTAGGCCTGTGTCGACAAACCTTTGAGTTCGAGTCGCGTCGAGTTCATATTTTCAATATGTTTTCCTTTTATTTCTATCCAGCTGTTTTTATTCTTTTTACATCTTTATATGAGAAATCGCTTTGCAAGTAGTTGGAAATATTGGTATGTTGAACCTGGCTCGAAGAAAATATACAAAATATTATGAAAACAAGAGTATTAAGCTATTACGAGGAACAATTTGGAGACATTGAGTGAGTTTACGAGGTACTTCATCTTACAACGTCATATTGGCGCTTGCGTGAGTCCGCGAGATGAACCGCTTGCCGTCGCAGATTTCTGGCTATGTGGTTTGTATCTTCATGGACTGTCTTTTGATGCACGAGTAAGGCAGCGACAGAAAACCTATGGACCGTAGATTCTAAAAATAGAATTTTCAGACAGGCGTAAATTCATGTTTCCGCTACAGGGACATTGAAATTCAATAGAACATCAGGTTCGATACAGCCAAACCCTAACCCTCACTTATGTAATATTAACTTTCGCGTCTTTTTCGATTACACGGCTGGGAAAAACTGCTTTTTACCTCTACATCCGGCCTCGTGATGCACGAATGAGGCATCGACACAAAAGCTTATGGATTGTAGGTTCCAGAAATACAACTTTCAGGCTGAACAAAAATTCAAGTCTCTGCTACAAGGGCCTTGAAATTCGATAGAACATCATGTTCGAAACCGCATAATATTAACTTTCAAGTCTTTTTCGATTATGCACCTGGAATAACCTGCTTTTTATCTTCATAAACTGTCTAGTGATACACGTATAAGGCATCGATAGAAAGCTTATTGACCGTAGATTTCAAAAATACAATATTCAGACCGTGACAAATTCTAGTTTCTGCTGGAGAGGCCTTGAAATTCAATAGAACGCAAGTTTCAAAACAGCATAATATTAACTTTCACGTCTTTTTCGATTATGCACCTGGAATAACCTTTTGTTTTGTTATAAATACTTTATTGGATAGTGACCAAACGGTAGGAGTGCGAACGGGACTCAAAATGTTAATTACTTTTGTGTGTATATTTCTTTTAAATTAAGAAATGTTAAAACATTTGGTTAAAAGTAACTAACAATGGTTCACAGAAAACATTAAACGAAACGTTATTCACTGGGGTAAAGAAATGCGCGATAAAGACAACGATAAAACGTGAACACGTTCATGCATTCAATACCAACGTCAACAGTCATCTTCGAATCGTATTTGGATTCTTGTCATCTTTTAAACAGATATTCAAACGTTCGTTCTGATGCGCTTAGTAGCTCTGTATGGTGAACTGTGGATATCATTATTTTTCTATCATTGAACGATTGATTCTACTATACAAAAAGTCGAATTGTTGAACGTTCCAATGCACTAAAGGGGGCAAATCATGACAATGTAATTAGTAATTATTGCAAACTTACAACATGATATTAAGAGATCAATTTCCGCTACCCAATTTTAGCACAGATATCAATACATTTCTTGCTTCGTTGTTGTAATTTTATTATTTTAATTATACTTCTTGGTATTAATATTAATGAGGTTGTTTTTGTGCTGCATTTTAGGTACTGTGATAACATGACAAGGCATACCAAGTTTGAGAGCTTATTTTGGACCGAATATGTTTACCGAATGAACCACTTGGAGCAATAGGACAAGAATTCAGTTACAGATAATTTTATTTTACCAAATTATGTAATTTGGTATCCGACAATTGATTGTATACAAAAAACTTTGGTATTAAAATGTTGGTCTGCATGTCAGGTAAGCACAATGAGTGCCGTCACTGCCATGTGCATCTTTAAACATCCTTGTTAGCAGCAATTGGGTTCAGCAACAAAACTTGGACGCAATGGTAGAAAAATAAAAATTTAAAAGGATTCTTATTATAAACAAGCAAATCTTGAAAAAGAAATTACTTCACATGACAATTGTATGATGAGGGATGCCCAGCACAATTTTAATTGTCTAAATATAGAGTATAGTGTATATCTTAACAGTTGGTAGTTCATATTTGATAACTTTTACTTTATAGCCATTTTCCCGAAATGTGGTATTTTTCGTCTTTGAGAAAAGATAAATATTTACCTATTTGACCAAACTGGCTGAAATTTTCAGTGTTGATACTTGATAGAGCTCATCATGATAAGTGTTTTCAACGATAGAATTTGGCATATGTTGTATTGCTGCCATTTTATCGAGGAAATATGCCAGGATTTTTGGAAGAAAATCGAACCAAAATTTTGCAGCAATGCTGTGCAAAAACTACAAGCAGCATAAAAAATTCCATCGCTCAAAACAATCTACTTGCTTTGTAGTCAACAAATAGCTCTTAGTGGTAAAATTTGATTAAAATGGTAAGGCTGTATTTTTTCTCAACTAACAGTGATTTGTATGAGACATACACTGTGTTTAAAAACTAGATGGCAGGATAAATATTAAAGGCATTAGAAAGACCTTAGTATTTTTAGAATCTATGTTAAATAAGCTTTCTAATGATATATAGTGTTGTACAGCTATCCAACAAACTTGGCGAGTAATAGGCTTGCAAATGTGGTCAACCGGAATATTGCAAGTTTAGGTAGACCCCCACCTTAATGTAATAATAATATGCGGGAGAACGAGCATGGCGACAAGATCGTGCTTTTCGGAATTCCTTCAAATTTTTTTCTCAG